GGAGTACTCACATCCGGCCACCTACGCAAAGGTTCCGCCCCCAACCTATGTGCCTTGTACCTCAGACAACTGTCACAAGAGGCTACATAGACCTTGATATCTTTACCCATGGATGGCCAATAGAACCTTTGACGTGCCCTCTCCAACGTCTTGGACTCCCCTCCATGGCCTGCTGCTGGGATGTTATGACACAGATACATTGCAGTCCTCTGGAACTCCGGTGTCAAGACTGCCTGGTATACTGGTTCAGATCGTATACCCGAAACCCTACCAAGATGATACAACACCTCATCTTCAACCACAAACTCATCCACTGGGGCTGGAAGTGACTTCCTCAACTCCGCACGCTGACCCCTCAAAAACTTCCTTACCTCCCCCCACAGGTGGTGACCTTCCTGACTCCGTATCAACTCCCTCATATTCCACGACACATCTTCCTCCCCCCTTTCACTCACCACTGCTACATTGTGACACCTTGACAACGCGTCAGCGACCACATTGCTTTTCCCTGGTACATGTTCAAAGTTTGTAATGTTAAACTCTGAGAGCGAGGTAACCCACCGTGCCAGCCGCTGACAAGGCTCCTTGGACTCGAACACATACTTAAGGGGTTTGTGATCGCTTCTGAGCCAAATTTCATGTCCAAGATGTACCGATTCCGTTGTAATATGAATGTGATCGCTAGCGCTTCCCTCTCAATCGTACTATAGTTCCTCTCTGCAGGACATAGTACTCGGGAACAAAATGCAATGGGACGCTCCCATCCTCGCTCATCCACCTGAGCTACCACACCACCTATCGCTGCGCCAGAAGCATCCGCATACACCAGAAACGGTTTGCTAAAATCTGGGTGCGCCAAGATACTGCGAGAGCTGACAGCAGCCCTCAGTACCTGGAACGCCTGCTGTTGTTCCTTCCCCCACACGAACTCCGCAAGTCCACTGATCTGATGTAATGGTCTTGCAATTTTTGAAAAATCTTTAATAAATCGCCGATAATAGCTAACCAACCCCAGGAAAGATTTGCACTCTTTCTTGTTCTGTGGAACTGGGAACTCTTGAATATCCCTGGTTTTATCTGGCAATGGACTGATACCCATCCGGCCCACTGTATGACCCAGGAATGTTACCGATTCTCCAAAAAAAACTGCATTTTTCGAAATTCACTTTGAAGTTGTGTGACCTCAGCCTTAGCAAGAGTTTCCTCAAATTATACATGTGCTCCTCTAATGACTTTCACAACACGATTACGTCATCGAGGTACAGCAACGCTGTGGGACCTATCAACCCCGATAATACACTCATCATTAGCCTACTGAACACAGCAGGTGCTGACTTCAACCCGAAAGGAAGTCGTTTATATTGCCAGAGCTCGTTGCATGCACTAAACGCTGTGATTTCCTTCGACTCTTCCTCCAGCGGTATCTGGTGATACCCACTGAGTAGGTCTAATGTGGTAAAATATTGTGTACCCTTCAAGTGTGTCAATGTGTCCTGTATGTTAGGTAATGGGTATGCTTCGTCCTTCGTCAGCTTGTTTATTCTGCGGAAATCTACGCATAACCTCACTCCCCCATTCTTTTTCCTGACTACCACGAGAGGGCTGTGCCACGGTGAACTGGATGGTTCAATGATATCATGCTCCCTTAGCTGGCTTATCTCCTCTTTCACCTCCCTCTGGTGTGCCACTGGTATGCTATATGCTCTCGTATATACTGGATGTGCGCCCTCTACGTCAATCCTATGTGCTCCTTGAGTAATGCACCCTGGGGGTTCCCCTCTCAACGCAAAAACATCCGGGAACTCCCTGACTAAGCCCCTTAAGGCTTCCTTAACCTCCCTTTCCATGGACATCCTATCCACTATTCCCATTAATTTATCCATTCTATCCTCATCGCCCTCACTCTGACTTACTGACATGGCTGCAATAATCTCCTCCACAGGGTGCGCCCACGCTACCTGTGCATGCTTACTCAAGGTGACTGGCCACCGAGAGGGATTAAAAACCCTCAACCGAATTACCCCTTCATTTATGTCTTCAATAGTCTCCATTATCACCAACCCTGCTGGATTATCCAATGGCTCAATTTGCACAACGTCTACTCCCTTGGCTTTACGTGCCATTTTAATCACTAAGGATGCTTCTCCCGGAATGGTGACATCCTTGGCTACCGTGACTGCCAACTGTATATTCTGGTCCCCAGCCGAGTTACCACAGTTACCCCTCACTACTGCTACTCCTTCTCTACTCCTCACCTTGTTAACGTCTACCGCTTGACCCCCACATACCAATTTATTCCCCCTTGCGCTGAACGCTAAGGTACATGAGTATTTTTCAAGGAAATCAATTCCCAAGATAATGTTGGTATGTTTCAGCCCTATATCCTGAATTACTACAAAACTATGTTTAAACCATCTATCTTCTAGCTGGAAATCCACAGTTGTCTCTCCCAACACCCGCAACGCATTATCCCCCACCGCCGTTAATCTCCTGTTGTTAGGTATCAGCCTGACGTCTGATCCTAACACGCTACGACTCATGATGGACACGGAAGCACCGGTGTCCACCAAGGCTGTATAGATAGTGCTCTTTAACCGTAAATGCACCTTTATGGGATGACCCGACCCGACGGTACACAACCACTGTTCGCCACCCCCTACTGTACACACTGGGTAATTAGGCGGAACAAAAAGCTTACACTGCCAGGCCAAGTGACCACCGTCACCACACAGCTTACACACTTTTGTCTGCTTAGGTCGGTCTGGCTCGTGTTTACCTGCAGTGTACCCCGTTCCCCGGGGATACCCTCTACCGGTACCCTGGTTCTGGTGGTACATTCCTGTTGCTCCCTGAGTAGGCGTGTATCGTGGTGGAGCAGGAGTGAACCTGCCTCCACGTGCCCCTTGATTATAGCCTCCTCGCTGCCCACGAGTACCCTGATGGGGTCCCCACGACACCCCACTCGTATTGTGTCCCAAAACACTCCGTTGCATAGAATCTCTGACTACCCCCGTGAACTGCGTTTCCGTCCGCTCAATCACATCACCCAAGAGTCTTATTCTATGGCCAAACGCAGTTTATGTGTCCTTCCGCCCAAAAATTGTTCCCCTGGTTCTCGTTTAAGTCACCCAAGCAGCCAAACGCCCTTAATTGTTCCCCTGGTTCTCGTTTAAGTGCAGCTAACTGAGCCTTTAGTTCTACTGCATCGTGCTGCACATCGTAATGATCTATCAGTTCCTGCTTAAACTCGCTATAACTATTTATTTCTCTAATTTCCGCCGAGTTGAGCAGGGTCTTTGCTTCCCCTTTCACCTTGGAATATGCCAATGCAATCTTTGCCTGATCCGACCATGACCCCACACTAGTCGCCTTCTCTAGAGCAAAGAAAAATGTTCTAATATCCGTCAGTAACTGACCTTTCAAATCCCGTTTGGCGCCCCAAAACGTGGGTATGTCTCCATATACCTTAGGTCCTGCATTAGTCGTCTCATGCGTGCTCAACACATTTTTCAACCACTGTGCAACCTTCCCAATTGTCTCTGACGCTGCCGCCTGCGCCGTAAGCAACGCCGCCGTGTTATCCCCACTCTCACCCTGACCGACATTACTCGTGGCCTGGCCACTGGCGCCCCTATTACTACCCGTACCCGTCATGGCTACTCGCCCTTTATGTGCTCGTGTATGAACCAGCTTGACGCTTTGCCGTACAGTAACCTTACTTGGCCTTATTCCCTTAATCTCACTAGAATCACTTATAATTTTAAGCCACCATTAACAACGTCACTTATCAGTTCCCCACACTACTGTTTCCACCCCTTAGGGGACTTTTCCCTGCCGCACAACGTGGCCACTCCACTTGGCCACACACCTTGGCCCCACACCCCACTATGGCCACTAACTGGCCCACACACCTTCCCTTCCTCACCCCAATATCCACCGTCCTGAACACAACCCGACGTCTACCAATTCCCGAACATTCCCTCACCAACTAAACCAGTAACACACTTCCTTCCTTCATCTCTCACAGTGTTCCAAAACCTGTTTGCGCTGCCACCAAATATGTCGTGACGCTGAACCCCGGTTCATTCCGAACACAGCGATTACACAACACATAACACCTTGCCTCAGCAACCGTTACTACCACCTATACTCCTACACACACCAGACCCTTGAGACGTACCACTAGGTTTGTACTGGAACACAATGAATGAACATATGGAAGGTATTTAAAGGCCGTCGGGTTTTGTCATTTAATTACAAAGAATAGACTCTGACAAATAATAACATATTAACATACTCTATTAGGTCAATACGCTTCCAATACCCATAGACCACTTGACCTCCGCGATCACCACCCACACTCGTAACTTCCGCCTAAGTCCCTAATACGGAATGATTACTACAACGCTCCACACCCTTTCATTCATCCACTCAGTCTTTCATTCAATACTCACATACTGCAGACTTAACTTCGTCACTAAGATCACATCAGGTTCTCGCATAGCTGTCTGCTACACTTCGCTGCTGCCACAAACGGAGACCTCGGAGGACTTGCCAGTTCAACTCCCACAATCAGACTGACTCCAGTCAGCCATCTACCTCAACCATTTCACCCCACTTCTCAAGGAAGGTATAATCCGATTAACCTTATCCCTAGAGCGGTAATCTTGTTCCTAGAAGCCTGACGGCGAATAATTCCTCTTTCCCGGAATTATTAATTTGGCTAAACAGCTTTGGTCTTAATCCATTGACCTTTCTTAGATATGTGATCCATAGTCTGTCTACTTAACATGTACTTCCAATCATCATTCGTTAAGTGTTGTAGTAATGATCCTCTAGCTAATAATTCCTACTAACTTGTGGATTACAACACGAGGTATTCCAAATTTAATGCAACTAAGGCTTCGTTAAAATAAAAAAAAGTAATAGTTTAATTATATATATAAAAAAAACGTTTTTTAATATAAAAATCTAAGGATATGTGATGAATCCGTCCCCAGGCCAGGTCTACCAGAACGACGTCTTCCCCGTCACGCACAACTACTACTCTGACGAGTGTCTCAACCAGGCTGCTGGCGGCTCTGGCGCTGGGATTGACTTCTACCAGATGCACACCTACGACTGGCAAGGCGCCTGGATCACAGGCGACCCCTTCACTGTGAGTCTGTGTTCAGCCTGGCTGGTGTTCTTCCTTTGGTTAAACAGCAACCTGTTGCACAGTGGTCTACGTCCTCGGCTCACAACCATTAGACCGCGGTTTAATCCCATGCAGGACAGAAACGGTTGAACATGTTTTCTTTCAATTGATGCCTCTGTTCACCTATAACAGTAAATAGGTACTTAACAGTCAAATGCTATCCGTGTGCAGAGTAAGGGGAAAATATGCAAATTCATTATTTTTGTTTTACAGTATATAATATTTGCTGGTAATATATTTTTGACTCATTTTATTAACTGAGGATACAGTATTTTCCACAGAAATAAGATCAATGAAAGTTTATTGCAATTATATTTCAATTATAAATTTTAAACTTTTATAACCATTATTTTTAATTTTTCTTAATAATTGCTAACCCACAATAATGCATGTGTAAAAATAACTATTAATAAGTATTTATGTGAATTGTGTAATTTCAGTAAGAATTCATAAATTTGAGGTTGACACGCTAGCTGCTTTATTATGACGCAATAAGGAACGTATATATCAACCCGTCCTCGACTCAGGTCCATTACATTCAGCGGTCAACCCCACAGACGTATTCATAAATTTTAACATGCTGTTCATTCAAAACGGGAATTTTCGCAAGTATAAATTAATATTATAATAGCATATTGTGTATATATAGGCATAGGATAGGTTAGGTTAGGTGTTTAGGTTCTGTTGGCGATTATTTGTATTTGTAGTACGCGGGTGAAGCTATTTATAGCGTTGTGATTCAAACAAAATTCGTCAGTGAAGCACATGTTCCGGATATGTTCGAACGTCAGCAGTTGTGAGTCGTGAGTAAATCGTTTTTCATTCATAAACAGGGGGTTTGGCGGGTGCATGGAATCACTTTTGGGTCTTTGTTTGGAGGACGGGCTGTATATATCACAGGTGCTTCGTCTCTGGTTGCAGGTGTTGCCTTCTGACTACAACCTCGAGAAGTCGATATTGATTGGCGAGTTTTCGTCCGCCTGTTCTGCCGGCACCCCGCTGGAAGACCTTTTGGATTACGCCTACACTGAAGGCTATATTGTAAGTGGGTACTTACCTATCACCGAATACCGGGAAGTGCTCTTTATGTCTCGCCTTCTAGTGTGTTAGTTTAGCTCATTTATTATGCGCCTTGTACCCATCCTTTGAGTGGTAGGGGAACATTTAACGGAGCCTACCCATTCCCATACTCTGAGTGGTAGTGTAAATATTATAGAAGTACATTATTGGCTCAGGAACTGAACCCCAATATTCATTTAGTAAACGTAGTTAAAACATGGATGATGAGTTAATTGCAAAGTTTGTTAACATTCACATCAGCAGTCCAATAACAGTTTTGGTTAGTTTTGCTTAATTCACACGAAGGTTAGTCATATAATTGGGGTTCACTTCATAATTTCCATATCTTTCTCTAAAACTTTATAAATACAAAATGTTTGTTTCATATTCAATTTTTTTAAACAAAATGTATCATTTTGCATGATTTACATTTACCCTTCTAAGCTAAGCTCACCTCTAGAATTATTTAATTATTTGTTCTGAATTCTCCATCTCTTTGTGTTCATAAGAACGATTTATTTAATTGTCCTGAAAAATTGCACATAGTATAGTATTCCGGTCAAAAATATTGAGCAGCCTAAGCGTTAGAACTATTGAGCAGCCTAATGGTTAATACAATTATTGAGTAGCGAGGGAACTACTGAGCCGCCTAGTTGTTAGTGAAATTACTGAGCAACTTAATTGCTAATAAAATTATTGAACAGCTTAAGGGTTAATAAAACTAATAAGCAGCCTAATGGTTAATACAACAATAAAACTTTTTCATATTTTCCCCGTAAGGGTTCTGCCCACATGAAGTGAAGTGTTATGAAGTATATTTGCTAGTTGGTCAGTAAGCTGTTGTGACGGCCCTAATAACCCTCCAGCAGTTAATAAGCTTTAAGCCCAACACTGAACACTGAGGTTCTGCTAAGTGTATAAATAATGTAGATTGGTTATTATGTCATTTACAGGGTACTTGGACCTGGCATTATGCAGCTACTGGTGACTGCAGTGAGACTCGAGAACACCAGCTGGAGGGACTCCAATACATGTCTGACCGGACTGATCACGGCGTGATAGATTTTATAGTGGAATAGTTGAATATCTCCTGGTCTACATCTTAGGCTGTTGCCTGACTTCTGCACTCTAACACTAGTATTCTAAAAGATTGCTTGCCTAAGTTGAACACTCATTCTTGTAATGCATTCAGCTATGATGAAATTAATGTGAATTTTGTCCAATATTTTATAGCTAGGCCTTTTGTAAAACGTTTAAATTAAATAGGAATTTTTTTTGTGTATTATCTTGTGACAAGCGCAAACAGCTATGCCAGTAAAATGTCAACCCGCCAATTGGATTTTCGATATCTTTGAAATGTTCAATTAACATTTAAGATAAATACAAATTTTAACACTTCTTTCCGTGTGTTTTATTTTTCTCTACTCGTCATTGTTCCAAGTAAGGATCTCTTAACCTAATGTCCCTTCAATCCTTAGTATACCTTTTTCGAGATTTATTTTTAAAGGTTTTAAGGACCAAACACTGTCATTATACATTTTTTCTGTCGTTTGCCCTCATGTATTTCCATGGTTATTAAGATCCTTCATATGATGGTTATCTTGAGATGATTTCGGGGCTTAGTGTCCCCGCGGCCCGGTCCTCGACCAGGCCTCCTTTTTATTACACACCCTCCAGGAATTAGCCCGTAGCAGCTGTCTAACTCCCAGGTACCTATTTACAACTACGTAACAGGGGCATCAGGGTGAGAGAAACATTTTGCCCAATTGTCTCCGCCTCCACCGGGGATCGAACCCGGAACCTCAGGACTACGAATCCTAAGCGTTGTCTACTCAGCTGTCAGGTGACCCTGATATATATATATTTATAAATTAGTTTTAATAAAATAAAACTAAGTAAAAGCATTATATATGTTGATTTGACAAAAGAGGATGGTAGCCGAGGCTACCATCCTCTTTTGTCCGGTCGTGTTGGTCGAGTGGTTAAGGGATCTTATACATCAGATGCATTGCTTCTGACAGTATGGGTTCGAGACACTTCTGGGGTGTGAGTTTTCAGCTAAATATAAAATATATATATATATATATATATATATATATATATATATATATATATATATATATATATATATATATATATATATATAACTTATATACACATAAGAATTGTTACTGGGTATGTTTTCCAAAAACTGATAGGTTCAAGGCGGTGTTCCCTGTTCCCTACTCCACTTCAATTGTTCTCACATTGATAAAGCAGCGACGCTTAGGGCACCATTGTCAAGGACATATGTGGGAATATTTCTCATGCAATCAAGACAGACAAGCCGACGTGTCTCAGTAAATCTTTTTGAGGTGATTCGGTTCAAGGCGTGTGAACAGGAGTAAATGCCGAAATACCTTACGCATCACAGGAAGACAAGGAACACCTTAAAAGGAAACACAGTTTTACGAATTTGAGAAAACAATTCCTTATTTATATTTTTAATTTGGGCTTAAGGATTTTTAACCTCTGGAGGGTTATTAAGATGACCGCCATAGCTTACTGACCAACTAAGAATTATACTTTAGTTTTGAACATAATTCAGGATTAAAGTAAACTCAGTATATAAACACTAATACTGCAGATGTTGAGAGAGTGATAGCAGCCAGAAGTGCGAGGCTTCCCTAGGTTTACCGAAGATAGGGAAAAGCGAGAGCTGTTATATACTTTTAACAGTGATAAGCCAAAAGTGAAAATACCCTCAACTTTTCTTTCCTCAAAATGTACTATCCCCTCGATTCGATATTTTATATAATTTAGGTTTTGTGTAGAGGATTAACCTTTTGCTTTAAGCTTAGTTAAAGAACAAAATGTCTGCTTCCATACTAGTTTTGCTATTAGATTAAATATAAAAAATAACAGCTGAGTAATAAATCCAGATTGAGCCTGGTACAATTAATATTCGCCGAGATGTTTTTATGAATCTCAATGGATAATCAGTGGTCCGCAGCCTAAACAGGTGTATGTCACAGCGACCAAACTTTTGACACCTCTGTAGACCTAAAACTATTTTCGACAGTAATAATTTACCACACTCAGTCCCCTATATAAATCAATAAGATTAGGCTAGAAATTCTAGCACCCAATGAATCTCGCGGGAACATGAAGTCATCATGAAACTTCCATACCTGCAAATTTACCATGACCAAGGTCCAAATTTATCTGGCGTTTAAAGTCTGCTAAGAAAACCTTAGATTGGTCTTAACAAGACAACAATATTTAATCAAAGTTTTTCTGCACTAGGATTCTAGTGATTCACCTGATGAAATATTACATGCAGTGTTGCTTTAGTTTTGTTTGGGCTGCTTCCTCTTTCTCGCTCCTGCCTTTAAGCAGTCTTAGAAACGTTTTTGAGGAAACCAGCACCAGCAAAATTGAAAACTTGCAAATCTGTAAGTGAACATATAACAGAGAACTTTAAACCGTGAAACGTATAGGTTGGGATAATCCATTCAAGATTGGTCGTAGTAAGAATGAATTAATTATGTCTAGCATCCTTAGGTTTCCCATAATCTAATGAATTAACATTAAAATTTAAGTGCTGTGCTTCGTTACGTCTTACAAGGGCTATAGCACTGTAACATAACATGCTTAATATGAGTAGACATTACTGCTCACCCATGAATTTTTAATTGATTCTGTGCTTAGCTATCCCTCAAGAAGGAAAAATAAAATTTAGCGAGGTTAGAAACTTAGTTATACTATTAGTCTAAAATGACTACTGCACCACAGTGCAAATTTAAGCCATATTTTCATTCTGCTTAAGTGCAGACAATTCCTCATTTGAGTTTGAGGTGATCATGATGCTTCAGTGATGAGTTAGTGTCTAGTAACTATAGTTTCAAGTCACGGTGACCCTAGACAGTAACCTCATTGTGGTTTCGAAGTCTCCTTGATCTTGAGTGACGTAATGATTAATACTTTATATTCTTTAATTAATTTATAACAATGTCAGATTACAACTGATACAGTAGTTTCTTCTACCTAATAGCAGATCATAGTCATCTGTTCTTAAGAATATTTTCTGAGTCTGTAGAACAATTCAGGGACTAAGTAATTCACCCATTACTAGTCATAGCGACACTAATCATTGATTTTGCTGTAGATTTTAGAGATTTCTTGATTTTAGATGACTTAATAATTTCATATTTTCAACATTTAATTTATGTTCCCATAAAGACTTAGTGTCACATCTGTTTCACAGATATGGGACATCCGTTATGTACATACTAACATACTAGCTTACTAAAATGTAAGTAATGAATATAACTTCAGGAAAGAGAATAGGTGCATCAGTACTTAACCATGAACTGTGCAACCCGTAGTTTCTCCTCCCTGAGTTTTGTTGGAAATTTCCAACACTTAATTACTAACATTCAGTACATTAAGAAACTATTCTTGTACTGTGTAATATATTTTACTAACACTGCTAACTATAGAGTAGTGAAATTAATATAATTTAGAGTTTGGACGGTTAGTCGTCAAGATGCAAAGTTTCCTTTCCCTTATCTCCCCACATTAATTTCCATGAATACATGTAGAATCACAATCGACTTGAGAATGGTCCAGGACGGACCGAAACGTCGTCGTCCCTTCACCTTCTAGTGAAGGTGAAGGGTCAACACACTTTAGCCACGTTATTGTGACTCATCGCCTGCGTGTAGAATCATATGTTCTCAAATAGATTTTACATGTGAATCGTCTTTCAGCTGGAGTACAAGCTTCAGAGAGACGATAACTTCTACAACGATCACGTGTTCCCAGAGTAGCCTACTGAAACAAGTTTACGGCGACGAGTTTACGAGTTTCGGAGACGCATGCTACTATTCCTACTAACAGCTAAGCTGTCTTACCCTTTTTGTAGATAGCCTGTAGTAGTATTCATTGATTTATTAATATCATATTCCTGCATATTAATTATATATGTGATTTGTGAATTGATGCGCATTAGCATCTCATTATTTTATTAAGTGAAGTGCACTAACTTCTCTTTACCACTTAACCTCTCAAAGTGTGTGGAGAGATTTGGCTCTATAGCTTACAGTAAAGGCAATGTGATGTAGTCATTGCGCGAATTCGCCTTGGCTATAGACACATCTGGCAGGTTAGTGAGGCTGAGCCACTACCAGAATACTCAGATTGTAAACTCTGTGATAAACCTTTAATACATTCACTAGAACACTATATTGTTGAATGTGAAGCCGTAAAGGACTTTAGACCTCCTGGCCTCTTGTACCACCAACTGTGTAACTATTTTATTGACTCAGGTGTTCTGGATGACATCCTAACAGTTTATCCAAAATTTGCTTGTCCATTTTAAAGAATGAAGAACAATATTTATTTATATTACTTCTAAGCTGCATCAGTTATGAACCCATCCCTGCCCTTGTGTGGCAGTGAACAATAGAAAGTTGTTTTCACATATCCATACATTAAACCATTGATTGTAACCATGATATATATATGTACTTCTGACTACAGTTTAGACCTATCGTGTTATGTATGACCCTCTGTCCTGCGTGACAGTGAATACCAGCATTATCCTCACTCTAATAAGACTTAATCAAAATCCTCGGATTAGGCAAAATTGTAATTAATTTTGTCAATAAAGATGTTAATAATAATAAGTAAATTACAGTTCATTTATTATATTATTAATAAATTTCAGTTACACTCTATATAAGAGATCCATAGGCACTGGTTCTCTAATTTATTGTATTTTCATAAGAATGGTCCTTCGAATTATATATTAAATTTATTATCATTATTCTGAGCCATATTTTCCCACAGATGGTGCTGGCTGGGTGCCACGGGAGATGGTGCTGGCTGGGTGCCATGGGAGATGGTGCTGGCTGGGTGCCACGGGAGATGGTGCTGGCTGGGTGCCACGGGAGATGGTGCTGGCTGGGTGCCACAGGAGATGGTGCTGGCTGGGTGCCATGGGAGATGGTGCTGGCTGGGTGCCATGGGAGATGGTGTTGGCTGGATGCCACGGGAGATGGTGCTGGGGGGAGGCAGAGTACTCGGGGTATATAACAGGGCTCCTGGCCCAGTTGAGATATCATATAGATCACAGTTGGCACTGCCGTCATGTTGTTCCTCACGCTGCTGGCCCTGCTGGCCTCCACCACTGCTAAACGACTCGCGGTAAGTAAAACAAAACATATATAAATATATATATATATATATATATATATATATATATATATATATATATATATATATATATATATATATATATATATATATATATATATGTCGTACCTAGTAGCCAGAACTCACTTTTTGGCCTACTATTCAAGGCCCGATTTGCCTAATAAGCCAAGTTTTCCTGAATTATTATATTTTTTCTAATTTTTTCTTATGAAATGATAAAGCTACCCATTTCATTATGTATGAGATCAATTTTTTTTATTGGAGTTCAAATTAACGTAGATATATGACCGAACCTAACCAACCCTACCTAACCTAACCTAACCTATCTTTATAGGTTAGGTTTGGTTAGGTAGCCGAAAAAGTTAGGTTAGGTTAGGTTAGGTAGGTTAGGTAGTCGAAAAACAATTAATTCATGAAAACTTGGCTTATTAGGCAAATCAGGCCTTGCATAGTAGGCTGAGAAGTGCGTTCTGGCTATTAGGTACGACATATATATATATATATATATATATATATATATATATATATATATATATATATATATATATATATATATGTCGTACCTAATAGCCAGAACGCACTTCTCAGCCTACTATGCAAGGCCCGATTTGCCTAATAAGCCAAGTTTTCATGAATTAATGTTTTTTCGACTACCTAACCTACATAACCTAACCTAACCTAACTTTTTCGGCTACCTAACCTAACCTAACCTATAAAGATAGGTTAGGTTAGGTTAGGTAGGGTTGGTTAGGTTCGGTCATATATCTGCGTTAATTTTAATTCCAATAAAAAAAATTGACCTCATACATAATGAAATGGGTAGCTTTATCATTCCATAAGAAAAAAATTTGAGAAAATATATTAATTCAGGAAAACTTGGCTTATTAGGCAAATCGGGCCCTGAATAGTAGGCTGAGAAGTGCGTTCTGGCTACTAGGTACGACATATATATATATATATATATATATATATATATATATATGTCGTACCTAATAGCCAGAACACACTTCTCAGCCTACTATTCAAGGCCCGATTTGCCTAATAAGCCAAGTTTTCATGAATTAATGTTTTTTCGTCTACCTAACCTACCTAACCTAACCTAACCTAGCTTTTTTTGGCTACCTAACCTAACCTTACCTATAAATATAGGTTAGGTTAGGTTAGGTAGGGTTGGTTAGGTTCGGTCATATATCTACGTTAATTTTAACTCCAATAAAAAAAAATTGACCTCATACATAGAGAAAAGGGTTGCTTTATCATGTCATAAGAAAAAAATTATAGTAAATATATTAATTCAGGAAAACTTGGCTTATTAGGCAAATCGGGCCTTGAATAGTAGGCTGAGAAGTGAGTTCTGGCTACTAGGTACGACATATATATATATATATATATATATATATGTCGTACCTAGTAGCCAGAAATATATTAATTAATGAAAACTTGGCTTATTAGGCAAATCGGGCCTTGCATAGTAGGCTGAGAAGTGAGTTCTGGCTACTAGGTACGACATATATATATATATATATGTCGTACCTAGTAGCCAGAACTCACTTTTTGGCCTACTATTCAAGGCCCGATTTGCCTAATAAGCCAAGTTTTCCTGAATTAATATATTTTTTCTAATTTTTTTCTTATGAAATGATAAAGCTACCCATTTCATTATGTATGAGGTCAATTTTTTTTTATTGGAGTTAAAATTAACGTAGATATATGACTGAACCTAACCAACCCAACCTAACCTAACCTAACCTATCTTCATAGGTTAGGTTTGGTTAGGTAGCCGAAAAAGTTAGGTTAGGTTAGGTTAGGTAGGTTAGGTAGTCGAAAAACAATTAATTCATGAAAACTTGGCTTATTAGGCAAATCGGGCCTTGCATAGTAGGCTGAGAAGTGCGTTCTGGCTACTAGGTACGACATATATATATATATATATATATATATATATATATATATATATATATATATATATATATATATATATATATATATATATGTCGTACCTAGTAGCCAGAACGCACTTCTCAGCCTACTATTCAAGGCCCGATTTGCGTAATAAGCCAAGTTTTCATGAATTAATGTTTTTTCGTCTACCTAACCTACCTAACCTAACCTAACCTAGCTTTTTTTGGCTACCTAACCTAACCTTACCTATAAATATAGGTTAGGTTAGGTTAGGTAGGGTTGGTTAGGTTCGGTCATATATCTACGTTAATTTTAACTCCAATAAAAAAAAATTGACCTCATACATAGAGAAAAGGGTTGCTTTATCATTTCATAAGAACAAAATTATAGTAAATATAATAATTCAGGAAAACTTGGCTTATTAGGCAAATCGGGCCTTGAATAGTAGGCTGAGAAGTGAGTTCTGGCTACTAGGTACGACATATATATATATATATATATATATATATATATATATATATATATATATATATATATATATATATATATATATGTCGTACCTAGTAGCCAGAACGCACTTCTCAGCCTACTATGCAAGGCCCGATTTGCCTAATAAGCCAAGTTTTCCTGAATTAATATATTTTCTCTAATTTTTTTCTTATGAAATGATAAAGCTACCCATTTCATTATGAATGAGGTCAATTTTTTTTATTGGAGTTAAAATTAACGTAGATATATGACCGAACCTAACCAACCCTACCTAACCTAACCTAACCTATCTTTATAGGTTAGGTTAGGTTAGGTAGCCGAAAAAGTTAGGTTAGGTTAGGTTAGGTAGGTTAGGTACTCGAAAAAACATTAATTAATGAAAACTTGGCTTATTAGGCAATTCGGGCCTTGCATAGTAGGCTGAGAAGTGAGTTCTGGCTACTAGGTACGACATATATATATATATATATATATATATATATATATATATATATATATATATGTCGTACCTAATAGCCAGAACGCACTTCTCAGCCTACTATTCAAGGCCCGATTTGCCTAATAAGCCAAGTTTTCATGAATTAATGTTTTTTCGTCTACCTAACCTACCTAACCTAACCTAACCTAGCTTTTTTGGCTACCTAACCTAACCTTACCTATAAATATAGGTTAGGTTAGGTTAGGTAGGGTTGGTTAGGTTCGGTCATATATCTACGTTAATTTTAACTCCAATAAAAAAAAATTGACCTCATACATAGAGAAAAAGGTTGCTTTATCATTTCATAAGAAAAAAATTATAGTACATATATTAATTCAGGAAAACTTGGCTTATTAGGCAAATCGGGCCTTGAATAGTAGGCTGAGAAGTGAGTTCTGGCTACTAGGTACGACATATATATATATATATATATATGAAAAAGTTCGCATTTGTGTTCCTCACGTGTGCCCCAAAGAATGAGGTGATTTGGTGAAATGCTATGCCCAAGATTACCATCCGAGTTGCCGTCGGGGAAGTGGCTCAAATAGCCTCGGCTATCACTTCCTTTTGACGGCCGTGATCGTCAAGCGGATTAAGGCGCCCTGTAGTTACCAGTTGCGTTGCTTCTGGGAGTATGGGTTCGAGTCACTTCTGGGGTGTGAGTTTTCATTCGCATATAGTCCTGGGGACCATTCAGGCTTGTTCGCATATATATATATATATATATATATATATGTCGTACCTAGTAGCCAGAACTCACTTCTCAGCCTACTATGCAAGGCCCGATTTGCCTAATAAGCCAAGTTTTCCTGAATTAATATATTTTCTCTAATTGTTTTCTTATGAAATGATAAAGCTACCCATTTTATTATGTATGATGTTAATTTTATTTTATTGGAGTTAAAATTAACGTAGATATATGACCGAACCTAACCAACCCTACCTAACCTAACCTAACCTATCTTTATAGGTTAGGTTAGGTTAGGTAGCCGAAAAAGGTAGGTTAGGTTAGGTTAGGTAGGTTAGGTTGTCGAAAAACAATTAATTCATGAAAACTTGGCTTATTAGGCAAATCGGGCCTTGAATAGTAGGCTGAGAAGTGCGTTCTGGCTACTAGGTACGACATATATATATATATATATATATATATATATATATATATATATATATATATATATATATATATATATATATATATATATATATATATATATATATATATATATATATATATATATATATATATATATATATATATATGTCGTACCTAGTAGCCAGAACGCACTTATCAGCCTACAATGCAAGGCCCGATTTGCCTAATAAGCCAAGTTTTCATGAATTAATATGTTTTCTCTAGTTTTTTTCTTACGAAATGATAAAGCTACCCAATTCATTATGTATGAGGTCAATTTTTTTTAATGGAGTTAAAATTAACGTAGATATATGACCGAACCTAACCAACCCTACCTAACCTAACCTAATCTATCTTCATAGGTTAGGTTCGGTTAGGTAGCAGAAAAAGTTAGGTTAGGTTAGGTTAGGTAGGTTAGGTAGTCGAAAAAACATTAATTCATGAAAACTTAGCTTATTAGGCAAATCGGGCCTTGAATAGTAGGCTGATAAGTACGTTCTGGCTACTAGGTACGACATATATATATATATATATATATATATATATATATATATATGCAAACAAGCCTGAATGGTCCCCAGGACTATATACAACTGAAAACTCACACCCCAGAAGTGACTCGAACCCATACTCCCACAACTGGTATGTACAGGGACGCCTTAATCCGCTTGACCATCACGACCGGACATAAGGAAGTGATAGCCGAGGCTATATGAACCACTTCCCCGCCGGCACTCGGATGGTAATCTTGGGCATAGCATTTTATCAAATCACCTCATTCTTTGGGGCACACGTGAGGAACACAAATGCAAACAAGCCTGAATGGTCCCCAGGACTATATACAACTGAAAACTCACACCCCAGAAGTGACTCGAACCCATACTCCCACAACTGGTATGTACAGGGACGCCTTAATCCGCTTGACCATCACGACCGGACATAAGGAAGTGATAGCCGAGGCTATATGAACCACTTCCCCGCCGGCACTCG